CTCCACGAACGGTTCAGTGTTAAGGAACGATGATGAACGACACTATCCGATCCACAAGAGTCCAATTGACGTCGACGAACGACTGAAGTGAATCGACGAGCTACGTAAGCGGATAGGATTTCGGAACAACAAAGACCCGGACCAATCGGGAACCCGACGGTGTTCACAAAAAGGACAACACCATCTATGTCTCGATCACTCTACAGATAATACAATCACCAGAACAGGTCGAACTCTTCGTCAAGCATCCAACGCACCTGGAATCACTCAAATCCGAGTTTGGACGAAGAATTTACAGGGAAAACAATCGGATACACCTCAAACAGAGTCCCGGGAAGTCGAAACACCCCGGGGGTGTCTAGGAAAAGCCTAGACACCCCAGGGGTGTCTCGGCCAGGCCGAGACACCCCAAGGGTGTCTCGACCACGCCGAGACACCAGGGGGTGTCTAGGCCCCCTAGAGCTCCCCTAGCGCCTATAAATAGCCCCCTTGGGCCTTTGTTTTGGAGGAGGATTGGATCTGGATTTTTGGAGAGAAAGGCGAAGACCTGCTGCAGCAAAGAGTGGTCGAGCGCTTCAACCGAGGAGGAGAGGTCTTCATCAGAGTCTTCATCACCCATTCCCCCCTTTCCTTAGTATTACCCTTGGCCGGTAATCACTAAGAAGAGCTGATATCTCGTTTTAGCCGAGATAGACGTTTCAGGCTTCTAGATCTCACGCAGATCAACAAAGCTCTGTCTGATTCTTTCGGAACAGATCTGAGTGCCCGGTGGTCCACGGATATCAACGTCCCTGTCACAGGCCAAAGACCCACGCAAGCAAGAGACCGCAAAACAGGATCTTGCGTTTATTTTCAAGAAAGTTGTAATTTTTATTTCTTTGTTATTCGAATTCATTGTAACGACTGAAGTTTAATGAAATCAATGATAAAGGCAGCTTTTCCTGAAAACAAACTGGCGACCACAGTGGGAGCCAACGGCCTCGCCACCGAGGCCGTCGTGACGCAACCGGCATTCAAGATCCGGGTGAATGAAGAGATCGAATACGAGTTCGATCAGCAAAAGTTCGAAGAGTACCTCTCTTCCTCCTCCTCCAGATCCGCCTCTCCGAACAGGCGCAGGAAGGCATCCTCTTCCAGAACCGTTCGTGGAGACCTATAGGCAATTTTCGATGCCTACAGTGATGCCTCGAGCCTACTCGTTAACCGAGCCATGCTCGAATAATGTAGCAGAGTATAACGCATTGATTATAGGACTCAATTTCACTAAGGAGCTGGGGGTTGAGTATCTCGAGGCTTATGGCGATTCTCAGCTAATAGTCAAGCAAGTGCAAGGAGAATATGAAGTCCGAAGTCAAGACTTGATACCATACCATAAGATGGCAGTGGAGATGGCGGAATCATTCGAAGGATTCTTTATCGAACATATTCCACGACTACAGAATACCTATGCAGATGCGTTAGCAGCATTGGCCGTATCTCTGGCACAACCTCCCGAAAGAACTCACCAACTCTTAGTGCCGCTTTACGGTGAAGATGCCAAGGAAGAAGAGGTTCAAGAGGTGCACGCTACTCAAGTCGAGTTCGAACCACGAGATTGGCGTTTCCCCATCATCGACTACGTCTTGCATGGAATCTTGCCAGAAGATGTGATGGAAAGAGAGTCGATCCGACGAAGAGCACCAAGATTCTACTATAACACAGAGAATCGAACGTTGTACCGTAGGGGGTACGACGGGTTGCTATTGTGTTGCTTATCAACCAAAGAAGCTGAAGAAGTCCTTAGGGAGGCGCATGAAGGAGAGTGTGGCGCACACCAACCTGGCCCCAAGCTTTATGATCGCATCAGAAGAATGGGGTATTTTTGGCCTTCCATGATGAGTGATGCAATTACATATGCCCAAAAGTGTAATGCATGTCAAATACACGGGAATTATATGCACCAACCTCCGGAGCATCTGCATCCTTCGGTTACGTCATGGCCGTTCGAGACTTGGGGAATGGACATCGTTGGCCCGATAAATCCCCCATCAGTCAAAGGTGACCGGTTCATCCTGGCAATTACCGATTACTTCTCCAAATGGACTGAGGCAGTTCCACTCAGAGAAGTTAAAACGAGTAATGTCATTGCATTCATCAAGCACCATATCATCTATAGGTATGGTGTTCCAAGACAAATCATACATGACAACGGTCCTCAGTTTGTCAGCAACGCCTTCATAAGGTTCTGCGAAAAGTTTAAAATTCAGGACATCTCGTTAACGGCTTATAATCCTACAGCAAATGGATTAGCTGAAGCCTTCAACAAGACTATCATCAAACTCTTGTCAAAAATCGTGAAAACCAATACACGAGATTGGGATGACAAGCTCGGTGCAGCTCTATGGGCCTATCGGACCACGGTGCGCACACCAACGGGAGCAACCCCGTATTCACTGGTATACGGATGTGAAGCTGTTCTTCCATTGGAGATTCAAATCCCATCTCTTCGGATCGCTCTTTCAACCCAGATGACGACCGAAGAACAACATCAGAAACGCCTCGAAGAACTCGAGAGGCTTGATGAAAAGCACCTGGAAGCTCAACAACATATTGAGCTTTACCAAGCTAGAATTTCTCGAGCCTTCGACAAAAAGGTTCGACAAAGGATATCAAAAAATTCTCTAACTCTTATGAGTTATTTTTGTGAGATGAGATCTAATCCTCTGATAGGTTAATCTTTCCTCACCAAACCATCCGCTGATCAAATTAAACGACAGTGGATCCACCAACATTTCCATTTGCCAGTCATTGGCATTTCTCAGACTCAACGTGTTAGGTCAGAATCACCTAGCATTAAAGTTTCCCTTTGAGTGATAATACGAGTTGGCACTTTCTTTGCTACCCGTATTCCACTTTCTTTGCCTTCTGGTCAAACCTATAAAAGTTAGGACCAAAGCCAAATTCCTCTCTCGATTCCTTCCATGAACGAGAGGTCCACTTGGAGCAGTCAAACCTATAAAAGTTAGGATTGTTCCCCGATCTCACTTAGTCAAGCCTACAAACAGTCAAGACTAAGGCCGAGTCATTCCTTTTCGATAAACGAAAATCTGCCTTTGTTCCTTTTTCCACCAAACCACAAAACCTATAAAAGTTAGGGTTGAAATTGGGTTTTCTCCTCAATGAATGAGGGATTCTTTGGGTTCAAATGACCAATCCTATAAAAGGTAGTGTCGTCCGAACCTTTCCGATTCTCGGAGTGGAGATCCCACTCTTAGTTTCATCCTTCCGGATTATGGGGGTGGAGATCCCACCTCGAGTTTCCTTTCCAGCTGAAGATAGAATATAAAATTCTTCCTCTTCAGCACCGGGAGATAGAATATAAAATTCTTCCTCTCCTCGGACCTTTCCGATGCTCGGAGTGGAGAACCCACTTCCACTCTTAGTTTCATCCTTCCGGATTCTGGGGGTGGAGATCCCACCTCGAGTTTCCTTTCTAGCTGAAGATAGAATATAAAATTCTTCCTCTTCAGCACCGGGAGATAGAATATAAAATTCTTCCTCTCCTCGGACCTTCCGATTCTTTGCTTTTAGAAAAGACACGATTGTCAAATCCGGGCACTCGATGCACGGGGAATTTTATCCCGAAGCCTGAGTAGGGATAAGTCAACGCCTAACACGCGTTGCCGGGTAGTCTATTCCCGTGAGAAAGACGAAGCCTATGTATTCAAAATCATAGCACAAAGCCTCAGAGAATTTACTCTCTTAGCACAACGTTACATGTGAGACGGGTTTAATAATTCACATGCTAGTCCGATTTCAAACGGTAATCGGTAAAGACATATCAAACCCGTTGAGGGCTGGGGGTTTGCCAAAAATCCCATAAATCTGCCATTCGGAAGAAATACAGAAAAGATCACAACAAAAGAAGCAGATGCGGAGGATTTTAAGCTGAGAAGTCTATCTACATAACTCCGCTCAAGTCCCACCTGCAGATCAGCTCGGGCAGATTCCTCAGAATTGCTCAAAATCTCCGCGGCTTCACTCTTCAGCTTCATCAGTCTCTCCTGGGTGGATCCGAGCTCCTCGAGTACTTGTTCACGAGAACGCTCTAGTCCAGCCAGGTCATCTACAATAAGAGCAGTGGATTCCTCAACGCACTTCAAGGCCTCTTTCAACCTAATCGTTTCCTCGCGGTTCGAGTCCAAAGAACGGAGTAGCTCAGCTCTCTCTGTATCTTTCCTCGCCACGTTAGCCATTAGTTGCGCAATGGAGCTCTCATGTGACTGAAGCGCGCACCCGATGGAAGATTTCAGGTCACGCCACTGTGCCATCCTAAGCTCCAACTGAGAGGACACGAAAGAAGAAGCCCCGGTAACCTCCAACTCCTTCAACTCTCGTATCTCTGACTCCAGGGCAGCAAAATCAGCAGTGAAGGAATCGGCCAACTCCGGGTATCCTTCTTCCCTCATCATCATCATGTGGCGAGAAAAGGAACGCCTGAACTGATCGAAGCCGCCTCCTCTGTGAAGAAGCTTCTCGATCAGGCCGTTATAAAAGGCGGTGAAGAAGCTGAGGTCCGTACGAAAAGCCTCTCTGTCAGGATCAGTATCGACCAAAAGGACGCGGACACGCTCGTATAGGGAAGATCGAGATCCTACAAGCAACAACATAGAAACTCAGCGGATTATCGAATACGATAAGGAAAGTCAGAAGGCAAGTTCTGAGCATACCAACGCCAACGGACGTCCCCTCGGGGTGAAGTCCAACAGGCTCTGAGACTGCAGCAGAAACAGGTATATCAACCCCTGCAGGCGGATTGCTCATATCACTCGGTAAGGGCGGGGAGGCACCACTTCTATGAAGGCTTTCAGCCCCGGGAACTGTAGTAGTATCAGGCCCAACGGCCGGTCCTATAGTTACACTCCTATATTAGCCAAATGAAAATTTGGACAAATAAGGAGAACCGGGACAAGAAGATCTCATGCATACCTGCAATCCCCCCGTCCTCAGATGCAACCGGAATGCCAAGAGTCATAAGAGTATCGGCCCAAGCGGCTGGTCCTATGGTGGTACCCTCTTATTAGTCAAAATGAAAATTTAGACAAATAAGGAGGATGGGGATAATAAAATCATCTGTATACCTGTAGATCCATCATCCGTAGGCATCTGAGGAATGCCAGGAGTCATATGAGAATCAGTCCCAGTGGCTGGTCCTATGATCGCACTCATATGTTAGTCAACAGTCAGATAAACATAGAGAAGTATGATATCCCTGAATCGTATGCATACCTGCGAGTCTGTCACTCTGAGTCAAGATGGATATGCCAGGGATCGATATCGGGCTAATCCCAATGGTTGGCGCTGCAATATTAATCCTTCGTTAGTCAGATAAAAGATCAGGCAAGAGGAAGGGAATCAGATATATACCGATGGATGAATCATTCCCAAAGAATGGTCTCTCGGTTCCTCTGGAAGTCTGTGCTCAGCCAGCATGTCAGCTAATAAGCCAGCATCGGGCTTCGAGAAGCTTGGCCTTCCCATCGCGACATCTGCAGGGTAACCTGAATGTTGAAAGATGAGGAAAGCTCGAAAAAGCACTTGCAGCAAAAACGGAAGATCTTCCTTCCCCATGCTTGAGGAAAGTAACATTGGATGTAGATATACCTGAATATGGGACTGTGGGCTCAACATTATTCATCTGCTCAAGATCGATGTTTAGATCGATGCCCAGAGACCCGTCATGAAGGGCGTCGCACATCTGCTGCATAAAGCAATCCATGTTATCAACACCAGGAGATACCGAACCCGGTGGGAGTTCGCCCTCTTCGAAGAACCCTGGAGCACGAAAACGTGGTTACGAATCCCAAAAGGTAAATCACCTTAAAGCAATAAAATGTTACCTTCCCCTCCATCAGCGGTGCTTCCTAAGTCCACTCCAAAAGGACGCTGACCATCGTGGGGTTTATGTGCGGTCTTCTTCCTCTTCGGGGCACCAACTCTCCGAGGACCAACGGGTCGAGCATGCACAGGCCTATCACACGTTTCAACGTGTGTAGGAGCTGGCGGCTCATGATCGTCGACTGTCCTACCTAAAGTGACAATAGCCATTCCATTAAATAAACAAGAGCTGTCATTTATACCAATTAGAATGGAGAAGGAAAATCAAAGAGGAAGGACAAACCGGTATCAGTTCTTCTCGGTCGGTGTTAGCATCCACATATTCTTCCTCGGAAGTCTCGTCGTCGTCACCCGTAGGAAGGAGCTCCTCATCATCTGGGAGAAGAGATTTGGCACGCCCCTTTCTCCGCTTCTGAGCAGGCTTGGATTCCCGACATATAGTTGGTCATAGCCGAACTGACGAGCAAAGCGGCAGGGGAGGTAAGGCTCTATGATGCATTGATTCTTCACCCGGAGGACAAGATACCCAACGCGGATGTTCACTAACCAGCGGAAACAACCAACGTCGAGAACAGTCCGGTCACTTCTAGGTTTCTCCTCGTCAATCAGCACGTCGTCATAGCGACCTGAAAAGTGAGGAAAACACTTGAAGAACTCCCAGCTCTTACGGACTCGAAGCTCTCGTTGAACATCACTGAATTTGTTCCCGAGCCATCTGCTCTTCTCCAACAGCTGCATGAAAGGAACGGGGACATCAACAACGCTGGGCGCAGACATCAAGTCAGGACGGTGAAGAACGAGCCACGCCATCAGATAAGCGTAAGGAAGCTCGACCTTCGGACAAATAAGCTCAGTCGATGGTGCAGAACCCATCTGTGTAAAACTACTGACTAGACACCTGAGCCCACAATGGATGCCAGCAACCATTGCTGGGAGCAGGGAAAGCTCTCTCCCGTAGGCTAGCTGAACTACAGGGAAGAGCACCTCGATGGGTAGAGCATCTGAAGGCTGTGCGGGACAACACATTTCTTCAACCAAAGGGCAAGGTAGCCTGCTAGTAGAGTCTGGGGCCCAATGGACTTCTGTGCACGGCAGAGGAAAAAATGAAACTTGGTCCCCGCGGGAAAAGCTCCCTCAGCACTGGCGATAGTGTAAGATTGAGCCTCAGCCTTCTCCAACAACTCATTAACGGCGGAAGGGGTCAACACGTCTAATTCACGAATGGGCTCGCTGGAATTACCCTCTATGTTCTGGAACAAATAGCTAGCAAACTGCTTCAAACTGACTTGCCTCTTCCTTTTCGCTAGAGCAGAAGTCTGGACCAAGGAGGTATAATAGTGACAAGTAAGATCCCAGAGAGTGTCATACATGTCGGGAGTATCTTTCTTCATACACTCCAGCTGCTGGTTCGAGGGGAAATACTCCTGATACGGACAATCCCCCATCGGAAGACCAGAAACATGATGCATCTCATGCAAGGCCAACCCTAACTCACCACCGCTGGTCAGAAAGGTGTTGCTGTCAGGCATGTAGGTCTCCAGCAAAGCCAAGAAATGGCGACAGCTGACTGGGATTCCGTACATGGTGGCTCGTATAGGTGCATACAACCCACTGCTCTTCAAATCCCTCTCCCAGCGCGCCAAGACGAAACTGGTCATGCGTGCCCACCACCCCTTGGCTAGTGAGGAAGCCCAACCATAGCATCTGTATTCTGGTGGAGGTAACCGTCTCCCCAGAAGAGCCAGACGATTACCCACGGTAGGAGCAGCTGCTGACACCTCGCCTGGGGGTGCAGTGTCAAGGCCCATGATCCCCGGTCGAAGGCCCCGAATATCGTGATGCCCGCTAGAACCAGGAGTCTTGTGATGAGAGGCATACCCGCACTGGACTCGCTCAGCATCATCAGTAAGATGCCAAGACATCTGCCGCTCCACGGCCTGTCCCTTCAAGTGACTGAAAGAATAATGTCGCGGAATGGAGGGAATATAAAAGACAGCCCCTTCGCTGAGAGTCAGCCAATGTTCCTCGCCAAGGGTCAACGTAGCAGGATCCTCGACATGGTCTCCAAACAAGAAACTCGGCTTCTTTAAAGCCTGAGTGGAGGTAGAATCCGCGGTGAAAGGGGCATCTGTAATGAGCTGGCGCAAGCAATGACGCCCTCCTTCCCGTATCAGATGACAGGATTCCTCAGGGCGATCTCTGTCAAACCGAGGGAGTGGACCAACGGCCTGTCTGAGAGAAACTGAAGAGAAGACCTCCCGGCTACAGCCAGTGTTGGCATGAGCAGGAAGGCTACCCGCGGGAAACTCAACTGCAATAAAGCACAAGGGTGGAGACAGAAAATCCATCTCATCAGAAGAATGATAAGCTCATTCACGGAATAATGTGAGAGACGATTTTGAGTGTCCTACACCGGAAGAACGGTATGCATCATCACGTGGTTAACGTGGTAACATACACCGATCTATAAGGTGTAGGACGACACAAAATCGCCCTAATATACCGGAAGACTTGAATTGGCTAAGCAAAACAAGTCTGAAACCTTAACCCCCGCGAAGGAGGGTATCGGTTCTTCCTTCATGACCCGCAAAGAGGTCAATCAGGGATACAGAAAATGTAAATTCTCACCCCCGAAGAAAGAGGCTGCTGGGGAAGATGTCACGGGAACCTCTCCCTCGCTGTGCTGCGACTGAGAACGACTCCTACGAGGTCGAGGTCGGCGAAGAGACATTGAAATCTGCAACAAAAAAGCAGCAAGTCAGGTACAAATATGAATACACGAAATTTAAAAGGGAAATTAAGAACTTTAATTAAAATCCTATGTGTAAATAGGATTTCATAATTGAAGTCTAGTTAAACCTACAAATTTCATGCATGCGAAACAATGATTGTCATTTTTCGCGGTGAATTTTGGTGAAATACCCAGAATACCCTTCGTGTTTAAGGCCAAAATTCAGGTCGAGGACATGCCCGGGTTGGGTCATGGTCATCATATCTGATCATATAGCACCCCCCGATACCCCACAATTTTGGTTAATTTTACAAATGAGCCCTTTTGTAGAATTTAACCAATTTTGCAAATAAACCCCTTCACAAACTTCAATTCAACGGCCACGTGCCCTTATCAAACTTTGGTTATTGTGTTGTGATCTAAGCTCCTGAAATTCCAGCACTAAATTTCAGCCCTTTTGCAAATAAACCCCTCTACAATTTGTGGGTTGCTTTTTGCAAATAAACCCCTCAAAAATTTCGGCCCCATGATAACCTTGCATAAAACCCCCCAAATTCTTGTGCCTACACAACTCATCATCAAAAAACCTATCCTCTAACTCATGAGAACATAAAGCTACAATCTTGTAAAAAAAAAAAGATCTTGTGAAGGGGACTTACCAAATCAAGAGGCTTTTCTTGAGCTTGAGGATGAAGGAGGAACCCTAGCTTGGGAGGAGAATTTCGACCAAGAGGGAGCACCAAGAAAATCCGAAATTGTGGAATGGGTTTTGAGTTTTGAAAACAATGGTGTATGGAAGAAGGAGGAAGAAGAAGGGGTTTGAAATTTAAGAGGGAATCCTTTTGAATTTTAAAAAGAGGGGGGAAACAAAAGGGGAAACAAACAAAAGAAGAAAAAGACAAAAAGAAAAAGAGAGGGGGGGTGTGGTCGCCAGTTTGTTTTCAGGAAAAGCTGCCTTTATCATTGATTTCATTAAACTCCAGTCATTACAATGAATTCGAATAACAAAGAAATAAAAATTACAACTTTCTTGAAAATAAACGCAAGATCCTGTTTTGCGGTCTCTTGCTTGCGTGGGTCTTTGGCCTGTGACGGGGACGTTGATATCCGTGGACCACCGGGCACTCAGATCTGTTCCGAAAGAATCAGACAGAGCTTCGTTGATCCGCGTGAGATCTAGAAGCCTGAAACGTCTATCTCGGCTAAAACGAGATATCAGCTCTTCTTAGTGATTACCGGCGAAGGGTAATACTAAGGAAAGGGGGGAGTGGGTGATGAAGACTCTGATGAAGACCTCTCCTCCTCGGTTGAAGCGCTCGACCACTCTTTGCTGCAGCAGGGCTTCGCCTTTCTCTCCAAAAATCCAGATCCAATCCTCCTCCAAAACAAAGGCCCAAGGGGGCTATTTATAGGCGCTAGGGGAGCTCTAGGGGGCCTAGACACCCCCTGGTGTCTCGGCCTGGCCGAGACACCCTTGGGGTGTCTCGGCCTGGCCGAGACACCCTTGGGGTGTCTCGGTTTGGCCGAGACACCCTTGGGGTGTCTCGGTTTGGCCGAGACACCCCTGGGGTGTCTAGGCTTTTCCTAGACACCCCAGGGGTGTTTCGACTTCCCGGGACTCTTTTTTAGGTGTATCCGATTGTCTTCCCTGTAAATTCTTCGTCCGAACTCGGATT